AAATGAAATGTGAATGCATCACGCCCCCAGGATTCAGCATATACAGAATGTTCCAAGAACACTTGTCCGGACGCCAATGATAAATGGATGCGTTGTCTATAGATGACCTTTCGTAGGAATAACAACTACGATAGCCGGTTCACCTTGTTTTATAAATTACTCCCCGCACGCGGTCAGAAAACCCCAGCTCAGCATCAGAAGCAGCTGCAGTCGGGCTTCATAAACCAGCGACCACCTGCGTATATTCTGGCCTAAAGGTAGCATGACATTCATACTTCACAAGAAGAAACGACGTCTGTTGCTGAAACTCACCGTAGGGTGGTTCCTGGATTTGACGCCGGCCAATAATCACCCTTCCCCGTCAGCTTGGCGACATTTTTCCGATATAATACCAAGGACCGTCGTCATCGTCACAGAAGCCGACCTAATTCGCGCCGATCGAACCAAGATTGCCGGTTTATAACACTACCTCCGTCGGATTATACGGCCCACTGACAGTAAAACGGCACTGTCTCGATGATTTGGACACCCTGAGGAAACTTCCGATGAAAACTTTGTTAATAAGTATATTTCGTTTGATTCAGATTACATCAGCGTCGTGCCTTATGCATGTTTATACCCGAATTTGACAACATCGATGAGCGAGGTGGCTTCATTTCGTTTATTTTTTCTAGTTATCACTCAACAATATAAGGGATTCAAACAAGTCATTTCAAATCAAACTAGTAACAAATTGGCAGCAACTACATATGTATGTACGGTTTCGATCTAACGCAACGAACTAACATGTGGTAGCATTGTAATCTCCACGAACATCAAACGAAGAACATACCATTTACATGAGTCTCCTTTCTTTCACAGACGATCGTGAGCTGCTGCTCCAAAATTTACCGGTGCCTCCTCGGCTGCCACCGGAGGCTGTTCTTCAGCGGTATTCCAGTCGACCGAACCGCGGTCGTTGCGGGACCCGTCACCGCTCCACTTGTCCGTCGCTCGTCATGTTTATCTCCACACCGGCCTAACCGGGGCACCATGGAGCCTCTGGCGCCGCTCGCGCTGGCCGCCGCTCTTCTGAGCCGGGCGCACGGACGTGCCATCAACTGCACCATCTCCGGCAACGACACAGACATCGACCTCGGCAGCGCGGCCGGCATCGTCACCGACGACCTCTTCAACGTGACGTCGACGAACGGCACGTGTCCGGACGTCGGCGCCGACGAGGGCAATGACCTGGGCATGGTGAAGGTGGGCGTCCTGACGGCCGTTCTGGTGGTTGTGATGATTTCCACGTGTCGTCTTCTGTTCAAGATGTACGCCCAGTTCGGCATGCGGGATTCGCCCGATGGGACAGACAAGGCGTTTGGAGAGTAGCGAGGGGGAAAGTAGAGTATAGAGTGATATTCAGGGACGCAGGTAGAGTTTGGAGCGCCCAGTGACGAGATGACGGGGGAGAGTAGGTGGAACTATTAACGGAGGGTCAGTGAGGTAAAGGGGTGAAGAGGGGCAAGCGATGTAGCATTAAGCCGCCTTGGTCACAATGTTATGAACAAACACGGTGCGATGCAGGCCCGCAGAGGAGGATGGAGGCCGGAGAGGGACGGTTAGTCACGCGCCCCCGGTCCAGGTGTACCCCGTTCGACCTCAGATATCCAGCACGCGCCTGACCTCGACCCAGTGGCCTCACCGAACTGTTGTACCGTTCCTGTAAGCGCCCGATGATGACCCGACTCGCCAGTGTTGTACCTATCCATAGAGTGCACGTAGCGGTGAGGGGTCAGTGTCCAGTCTCCTGTGGCCTGTGACCACGCCCGAGTCGCCGCGCTCCAATGTTGACCTTGTTGGTGATCCTGCCCGTTGCAATGTCGTTAAACGTGACGATAGCAACGCCGGTTACCATGTCGAGACCCCATGTTTATGCACGTATCATCACAGACTATGCAGGCGCGTTAAGCGCCAATAACGATCAGGGGATCCGGACACCCACACAAATCATCGGGTTATGATGATCGTTAGCAGTTGCACGGTCGGACCCTTGAGGCCCCGTGCTGAAGACAGGGCAGGGAGACATGACCTTGTTATAAACCTTGTAAATTTTTAGACAGTCTGAATGTGATGTGTTTTTACAATGTTATTCAGCTCTATTGAACTCAGCATTCGCAAGTTTCGAACCCTGTAGTTTGTCACACACGTTTTGAATAGAAATCTTTTATCGAGAAAGTGGTCTCTTCGTTTCAACAGTGGATGTTCCGACTTCCGCAATTGGTACCTAGCTATGTGGAACTCTGGGGAACAGACCGAAAATAAGCAAGCTATTAGCAGCTAATGAAATCTCCTACTTCAAAGACCAAGTTAATAGCTTTTCGAAGACAATCACGATGAACTCGACAAGTGCGATTTCGCCCATCATGAGACAAATTAGGTGAAACACGCTATCGTGCGACCAGGTCCAAAAGAAATGTAAGAAAGCGTTCCACTATGTCATTCATCACAATATAAAACGCTTTACCTGGATCAAAGCATTCAGCTTTTCACTTTGCGCCAGAAGTCCCTTATTTTATCGCGTCCGAACGACCTAGCAATCATTCTCAAATCGGCCGCCCCATCTGCGTACGGTAGTTCGGCCGCCGCCGACTAGTTTTCCGATATTCATATCGCGCCGTCTGCTGACTGGCGCGGCGGCTCAGTGCACTGGGGACGGTCCGCACCAGAGCGCCGCGGTGCACCACGGACACGGTTATAGAGGTAGGCCGGCCTGGTCGGACCCGGTGGCTGGCCCACGCCCGGAGGACCGCCCGGTACGGATCAATTATCGGCCTGCCGGTCTCTACGTCTGCCCAAGCCGGCCCGAGAGGGATGGACAATTGGGTATGATTAGACATAACGTGGATTTTCATTTACAGTTAGGTTATAAACAAAGTATGTGACACTTCCGCTGAAGTTACGTACGAATCTTTATGGATGAAAGATCTTTTAATTTGCAAAATAGACCTAATTCGACTCAATAATGTCCGTAATAGAATAGATCACCCACAACTCCATTGGGATCAAAACCAGACTATCTTAAGTTTTGTGACGACTGATGAGAGCCAATATTGCGATCTCCTGACAGAATGGTGACCAATGATGATGCTTAAGAACACCTGGAAGCTCTCCGATTCATCTACTCCGCCGCAGAAGGCAGGTCTGGTAAACCAGAGGGACACTGTGCGCTCCTGACGGCGAGCGTAGATGTGCCACCAGCACGGCCCACACCACCACGGCGCGGTCACAGCACGGCACAGCACGTGACCGGCCCGGCAGCACGCCACGACCACGACCGTACAAATGGAGCAGCCAGCCAGCCAGCCGTCCGGCAGACCAGCCCGTGCTCTGCAGGCACGTGCTGCAGGACACAGCGCACAGCGCCACCAGCCGAGGGCTTCATTGGGACCTGCACGCAACGTCTGTCGGATATGTAGGCCGACTGCCGACGGGAGCAGGGAAGAGCGTGAATGAATAATCAGTTCGCGGGAGAGCGTTTCTGTCTGAGTTTGCCAACTATCTGAACGAAAAGTTTTTGAGGAGTTGAGAAATGATAACCTAAGGCTAAGGTAGGCTAGCATGAAAATTGAAAACACAACCCTCAAGAAAATCAATTGCAATTTTGTAGACTGTTTGACGATGCTTTTATAGTTTAATTAATAATTACCGACGTCACATGTTCGATGGGTACCTAAGCACCTGCTACTGGCGCTCGGCATGACGATCAAACTCGACATATTGCGTTACGTCTTTGACAACATTTTCTCGTGTGATTTCAATCATATACCAGAAAATATATGCAAACTCCATTGCCGGTGTACGCGGCATCTTCAAATTATCGTCAAAAGCCCGCCAAGAGGAAAGAGATTCCTCGCCGAGTGAAAAATAGGGCCTTACGGTACAGCATCATTTCAGGCGCAGATCATGGTGCCACCTAGCGAGAGATTCGCGCACTTATATTACGGCTGCTCCCGGGGCAGGACGAGACGAGAGCAAGCCGCATCCATCAGTTCGGGAGGCATTTGAACACAGAGGAATGGAAGAGAAAATGACACACCCGAATAAATTGAGAACGATCACAGCACCACAATCATGCGAGTGGGGAAGCAGACACTTCGGCGACTGTGTAGTTTGCGCGCCCTTCAAATATTGACAATATTGTACCCAATACCTACAATGTCCTACCCCTGACAGTTCGATCGCATGAAGATGCCACTAAAGGTCGGTAGACACTATGAGATAAAACACGTGTGTATTGCATTGGTAGGTAAAGACAGGACAAAATGCATTGTATTTGTCTTCTTGTTATTTGTAACCTGCATAGGTACTAACACGTGTTTACATCACGGCAAACAAATCCAAGAGAATGCATCAACACCCTCGGAACCTTTCAAATTTAGGGTCAAATCGGTCATCTGGGCCAGAGTTTGGCCGATTCGTCTCTGTTATGACTAAAAGTAAAGTAGCTCCACTGACCGGCCCGCTAACTGTGTCGCTGTTAGCGGACGCACGGTTAATCGCCCAAATATTGATGTCGGCTCAGGTCCAGTGGTAAATTCGTCGGGTTAGGTCCCCGTTAGAAGGGCCTCACGACGTGGCATGCTCGTTTGGACAGGGCCCTCTCGGGACCACACTCGATCCAGCACGCCCGCAGCGAGTAGCCTGTCAGAGCCGCCGTCCTAACAAAAGAGTCAGAGGTGAAGTTTGAATCACCGCCACCTTGAATAAAAGCAGAACAGTTTGAGTGGAGTTTCATCGATGTCGCTAGCTAGTAAATCATAGATGACGAGGGAAATTTTGGAAAAGATATACCACACCAAATCACGCGAGCCATTTCAGCAATGGTGTCGGTAAAAACGCCCGTTTCCTGCAGTGGTGAAAGCCAGAATAACTGCGTTCCATCCAAACAATTCCGTTGGCCCTATTACAGCAGGCTTAAACTAAACACGTCACGGAGTTTCAGCACAGACAGTCCAAGCTGGATCCCTTGTTCAGACTTATATTGTTTACATCAAGACATGCACAAAACATGACTCCTGACAAGCCCAACAGCTCACAAAAACTGGCCTTCTTTAGGCGTCAGGGGAGGTCAGCCAAGAATACCGTCCTGAAGCTGGTGTGAGGGCCAACGCCCGCAAACACAGACAGCCTCTTCAGAAACGAGTCACAGTGTATCAATCACCATTCGTCAGCCAATACAGCTAGGAAAGCGGTGTTACTAAAATAAAGCGGTGTTACCAAAAACATGTCAACGGACGTTCTGACACCGACAGTTGGACCGGTCAGGTTAGAGTGGAACTGGAGACTTGTGGTAATATGTCGGGAGACGCCTTTGAGAAAGAAAGAAAGGATCAATGAACCGGGCAAGCAGAGAATGGCAATGGATCTCGATAGAGCTGAGCCTTCAACGCTTTTCTAATACGATACCCCACGCATCACAAACCCGCGTGGAAAATGCACCACACGCCATAAACAGAGATCACCCGACACACAGAGGAGTCCTCTCTAATTCATCACAGACGGCTTCACCCTCCACAGAGCCCCTCCCGTCTCTCCGGGGCCACTCCGTCACGTCACGGGTCGGCCGCGTGACGCCCGTACATCACGGCCAGTCGGCTGTCCGTCACGGCACTCTCTGCCCCACCCATCACCGCGCCGGCGGCCGTGCCAGCCGCCGCGGCACCCAGCGGGCGGTCACCAGCGGCAGCGGCCCGCCCCGGCCCCATCATGACCCCGTCTCGGACGGCGGCAGCTCACAGAGCAGCACACGGAGCGCGGCCGGATCGGCGCCGGCACGCGAGCCGCCGCGGCGCGGCGGGTGGCAGGCGGCGCCTGGTGCGCGTCCGTCCCACAGCCCGCGACCGAGCCACGCCTGGATAAACACGTCGAGACCACCCCCGGACGGGCGCCGACACCGACACCGGCCCCGCGCCGTCCGCCGCCGCCGGACGGCCGCGCTGACGGCACAAAACACGCGACACGCGCACCTGTTTATTGATTGTGTCGAGCGTGACGCCCTGCGTGCCGGCGGTCGGCGGCGGCGGACGCAGGTGGAGGGTGACTGAGCCCACCCGGCGCGACCGTCACTTTGTCTCAGAGGGGTTCCAGAACGAGTAACACTGCTCCATAAGCAGTTCGCAGTAGTCCTCACTTTCGCCTCATGGCAGGCGAGTCTCTCATGGCAAAAAGCAGCTTAGGTAGAGCTGAGTTCCCTGAAACCACCCTCCCTTACCGTTACCACTCGAGTCCGTCTCATCATCACCTCAGCCCCAGTCTCCGTTCCAGGTGCTCGGCGAACGGTGTCGGGTCGGCCGGCGGCAGCGGCCGCAGCTGAGACAGCTCCATCCCGGCCAGTGTGTCTCTGAGCGTCTCACAGACGCAGTGCAGCAGGTGTCCGTCGGCGGCCAGCCGGCCAGCCAGCTCGGCCTGGTGGTTGTCCATGAGGGTCGTGTTGGTGACCACCACCAGCGCTCGGCCGGCCCGCAGCGCCTCCAGACACGTCCCCGCCCCCGCGTGACCGATCACAAGGTCAGCGGCCGCCATGTCCTCCGCAATGCTCGGCTTGGAGCGAAACCAGCGGACCGCGACTCCCTCCACAGTACCTGTGGGAGGCTCAGTCTTCCCAGCACCGATCTGCAGCACCATCTCGCGATAGCCGCGCGAACTGAGAGTGCGCAACACGTCGGTAGATGTCACTGTTCGCACGAGTTTGTCGAACTCCGTTGTCCCCACCGTCACGAAGACGCGAGCCATGTCAACCGACGGGGTTGAACGCCTTGCGCAGAGCCAGGTAGCCGGCTACGATGTCGCCCGGTAGGCTTTGGATGATTTTGTACTCCTCTGCACTGGCGTACCGTAGCTTTGTGTGGGGGTCTGTGTACTTTGCCTGGAATGGAGAGACGCGAACCGATGTGTTTTGCTCTCTTTTGGCGCCCATCTGTACAAAACGTATGCTAATGAATTCTGCTTTAAGAACTGTTTAGTGAACTGAGAGCTCATTTCCACAAAACCTATAATGCGTTTATTTATGTAAAAGGTAAACGTTTGTTGTTCAAGTTGTAACATTGCAAAGCTGTTGGCAAAACATTGCACCTTGCGTGGAAATCGGCGCATTATCCGATCACAAAAAAAACGAATCGGCTCCAAGCACTGAAGTAAAATCATGCTCTTACTGAAACACAAACATGCAAACAGTTGTTCTACAAAATGCCCTTTACAATAGGCAAGGCATGAGTAGATAAAAAATAGGTACTCACCGGTAGGCCTGAGATGTCCGAATACTTCTTCGGAGGAAGAAATGATGGTGGAGCCTCAATGCTCCAGTCTGTGGAAAGAGACACTTTATGAGCAGACAATCATGACCCAATATACCTGGAAACCATTCCGCATCAGTGGAGACCATACAAACTGTGATAATATTTATAAGCTTTTATGAATAAAATATAATTAGACAACCTGAGACTCAACAAAGGAGATTTTTCTTATTCCGCTTAAAAAAAAAATGCGGGGTTACTTACACGTAACAGCCTGTTCTGGATAAGGCAGGCTTTTTTCAATGCTAATAAGCTGCTTCAGAGGACGCCAAGCCCGTTTCTTGTTTGCAGTCTTCCCAGAGTGCTGTAATAAAAAGACTATATAATTTATCTATCACACAAAAACATTTGTATTGCATCACACCATTCATTCAATGTTGTCCAGTAGGGGGCCAGGGTCCAGACTGGAAAACATGCATAGGTACGAGATTTAGGGCCTTGCATACGAGATACGGCCATGCTTACGAGTACACTACGCCGGACGCCGGTGAGACGCTCTCGCGCTGAAAACCGGCGCAAGCGATTTTGCGATGAAATTTCTGCGTGATTTGCGCCAAGAATTGGATGCCTATATGTGCCAAAATTAAGCCACTTTTATATAAAGCACATGTGCTCGTCTACCAATCAAGGCTATATCAACCAGACAGAGCGTTCCGTTCCGGAGCCTTGGACGCTCTCCCATGTTTGAGCGTCCGAATAAGTTTTTTTCACGGAAACCCAATACCTCAATATGCTTAGCGCACTAGCGTCGTGTCGCGAAACGAAGACGGAAGTTCCAGGGCCATAACAATTGGCGGAGCACTATGTTCGAGGCTGGCGGGAGCCAGCGAGGGCCGGGCAGCGGAGCAGCAGGTGCTCCGGCACATCAGCCTCTTCTAGGCACAGAGCACAGAGTGCCGTGGGGCACCGCTTGTCTGGGCACTGCTGGCACGCCGCGGAGTGGAGACAGCCGATTCGGTGCACGTACTGGAGCGAGCGGCCCCAGTGGCCCGCCAGCATCTGGTGCACCAAAACGGCGTCCTCTCGGTCCTCTCCAGGGATAGTGAGCGGCGGCTTACTCCCGAGGAGTGACTTGAAATAGTGATTCGGACCCCTTGTCGCGCCATTGATCATTGATGCGAGACCGCACAATGAACCGCCCTGGTCAGCGAGCGGGCGTTTGAAGGCAGGGCGGCCGCTCGTTTCGCCAGGTCATCCGTACTCTCATTCCCTTCGATAACGACGCTCGGCGATGTTCAACAAGGTCTTCACTCTTCCATACCTATCTCCACGCCGAGGGTTGAGGCCTCACCTGGGCGGCCGCTCCACCGCTGAGTATAGACTCAGTGTGGCTCGCCACTCGCCAATTCGAGTACACGACGACCGGGGCAGGGACGTCTCATCCCAAAAGCTTTCCAGAGCTGCCCACAGGGCAAATCTGCTGCTAGATTGACCAGCAATGCCGACTAAATTTGGTGACCGTCTTTCGCTAAAGAATTCTGCAGCCACCCTGCGCCGAAAATTCAGCAACCACCGTGCGCTGAATTTGACGCATGCGAAATTACGTCAGACGTGAGCTGAAATTTTCAGTGCAATCCCGCTACTATGCTGGACATATTTGGCATAACATGTATTTTTTTCAGTCTGGGCCAGGGTAAACTGGGTTCTTGTGCAACTTGGAAAGATTGCAGCTCTCCTCGTGAAACTAACAATGTAAGTTGATGTCACAAAAACTCCTGGTATTAGTATATATTAGGTCCGAGTGGACAATTGTGACGCTGTTGATACAAATATGTAACAGCAAAAAAATGTAGGTTTTAGGTTAGGTTAGGTTGTAGGTTTGTAGGTTTTAGGTTTTAGGTTGGTAGGTTAGGTTAGGTTAGGTTAGGTTAGGTTGTAGGTTGTAGGTTGGTAGGTTGTAGGTAAATAGGTAAGGTTAGGGGTATATGTCAAGTTTAGGTCCTAACTACAATTGTGGCGCTTTTGATACGAATATGAAACAGCAAAAATTTTAGGTTTTAGGTTAGGTTAGGTTGTAGGTTTGTAGGTTTTAGGTTGTAGGTAAGTAGGTTTGTAGGTTAGGTTAGGTTAGGGTAGGTTTGTAGGTGGTAGGTTGGTAGGTTATAGGTAAGTAGGTAAGGTTAGGTCAGGTTTGATTATGTTTTTTTCTTTTATTTGCGAGACATATGAGTATCATTTTTGGATTCAGGATGTCAAATAATGTTAAAATATGAAAAATTTATCAATGAAATCTTCTTAGGACTTAAACTTGACATTTACCAGGTTAGGTCAGGTTTGATTATGTTTTTCTTTTATTTCCAAGACATATAAGTATCATTTTTGGATTCAGGATGTCAAATAATGTAAGAATATGAAAACTTTATCTTTTAACAGTCACTTGGACTCAATGTATACTTTTACCAAACTCCTCCCCCCATCCGAGTTTGTTTATGGTCCAAGATCTGTCACCTTCAAATTATTTCAATCTATTCTATCTTACCTTAAAATCTGGATTCTTAAAAATAGTACTGAGCCCAGTTTTGCTGTCAACAGTTTCTATTGTATTCTCTTCAGAAGGTCCAGCCTCTTCAGTTTTCACAGCAACCTTCATGACTTCTTAATTCCTGCTGGAAAGACAGAAAATGAATTAAATATTGAACTACTAACTACTGTCCAGTGTCCATGACCACCATCCCAAATTGAAATATTTGAACAGATTTCAAATATTGACTGAAAATTTGATTTTAATACTTTAGGTAAAAGGGAACTTTAAATTTTACCCAATTGTTAATGATAAGGAAACCTTCATTCATCGAAGGGAATGGAAGGGAAGATAAAAATGTAGCGGAAAAAGGTCGATAGACCCACAACACCATACACTACTTACACAAATCACCATTTCAATTTATTATCTCGCAGCCCCGGGATCTCCAGCTCGTGTGCCAAAAAAAGGGCTAAGCGTGTTAAGTGTTCTGAATATAACATGTTTTCGCTGCTGGAAGAACTTTCACCAGTAGTAGATCAAACATTGCTTATTTTGCATTTTCAAAACAAATTTATGACACTTTTGAACAAGTTATTTTGTCTTTTCTGCGTTGTTTAAGGCGCACGACGGCTAGTAAACTGCTGCTAAATTTAAAAACGAAATGAAATCACGGAAACCGCAGCTAGATCGTCTCGCCCTTTGTCTCGCCATTATTCAGCCTCAGAACAGTAAAATCCTTTTCCTTTATTTCTATAAACAACTGTCCCGGGCAGGACGGCCATTTTGTATCTGACATGGATAGCTACCCGGGAGCAGGTCTCTTTGCACAGGCTGATTCAGAAAGCCGGTCTCGAGTCGACGCTTCGGGGGGTGGGGTGCACGGCTCGAAGGCTCAAAGAACTTCCTCAAAAAAACTTATCGGAGACGGATTCCGTTTCTTTATGCACCGTTCGGCGGAACAAAGCAGACTTTCTGTAGAAAGCATCGCTAGTTTCCTTTCATTATTTTTGTCTATTTTAGGGCGATGCGGTGGGTGAGGGTGGTAACCTGTGTCTAAATGCCCCTCTCTCCCTGGATCGACCAATGAATGTTGCGTGGTAATACTGAAAGAGGCCTCTGCTTCATGTAGATCGGCCAGACGGCTAGACCATGCGGTCCTGGTCCGCCATTCTGATTCCTGAGGAAGACCATAAAGTGTTTGTAACAAATCCAAACTGACGAGACCGAAGGCCGTAAGTTCATTATCGGCATCTTTTTCATGTCCACCACCAATAACCCAACACGACCAATTTCTTTCGTCATACCTATGTCATTTATTTCGGGTACATGTTTCTCATTCTGATCCTCGGTTCATTCTTGTCCTGGCCCACGGCATTGGCAATCATGAATTATTCATACGGGCGACGCTTTTCCATTCTCATATGGTTTATCGACTTAACTGGCTTAACTAAAATTACTTTGTCAGGCATAACTTATGACCTAAAATCTTCGAGCGGCATACCATAACAGTTATTTCCAACAAATCTAAGGCACCTAACCACATTTTGGTAAAAGCTGGTAAGCATACACTATTTATTCGAAACATGCCACAGCAAATGTGCAAATCATAACAATATTTCGCGATTCAAATAATCTACCAGTCGCTGTCCACGCACTTTTTATGCACTACCTCCGCTGTCATCATCCTCGTCCACATGATGACCGAGCAGCCTGTTGAACATCTCGGCCGACTGGAAGCCCGTGTCCAGCAGCACCAGCTTGCCTTGCTGGCTCTTATAGAGGGAGTCCACCCACGGCATTATGTTGGAGACGCTCCGCGCGCGGCTCACCGAGCCCTCCGGCAGGCTGAGCTGGCGCGAGTTGAGCAGCAGCGGTCCGGTGAGCACGGCACGAAACTGACGCCGCGCCGCGCTGTGGTACATCCGGAACGGGTACCGCCAGGTCAGCAGGAGCACGGCGGCAGCCAGCAGGCCGTACAGCCCGCCGCCCAGCAGCACCTGCCACTCGGCGGCCAGCAGCAGCACCGAGGTCGGCCGCAGCGCCGCGGCCGGCACGGCCACCAGCAGCGGAGAGGCCACGGCCAGCGCCGCGGCGCGCATCCACCGCTCGTTGGGAGCGACGTACACCAGCCGGAACTCGGACGGGATGCGGTCCCTTCTGCGCCAGCGCTCCTCGCGTCGCGAGCTGCCGCTCCGCGCCGTCTGCAGACTTCGCGTCACGGAGGGAGGGGCTAGCGACTGGATCCGCGGTGCAGGGAAAGTGTTTGCTGATAGCCTGTGATGCAGTACTGGACAGGAATGCACATGCAATGATGCTGCTGCATGTGAGAATGGTCGGAGGGGTTTGAAAGAGGATAAAATGGAGGAACAGAGGTGGGATATGGTGGGATTTAGAAACAGCTTGGACATTTCACAATGCTAATGTGACGATTTTATTGTTCTTATAATGTTGACCTAATAAAACATCCAAATTCTTTTTCTTGTATGTCGAATCACTATTTAGATGCAAGCTGTGTTGCCTTCTGAGAAGAAATCTCACTGTCAAAGAGGAATACATCAATGTCACCAAATGGCAAAATCCAAGCTATTACGAACTAAGAATACAGATACAATGATTACCTCATAGCAAATTGGCATAAGGTCGCTGGTTGGCAGAGAGTACATTGCTTCTCAATCCACAGTGATGCAAATGGGGTTCACGAGTGGCCATAAATACCATAAAGTCAAGTTTACCAAACCGAGTAAATCGCGATATGGCTAACCAAAGAAATGTTTGGTGCATCTGAATTCACATAGCTTTCATGTTTTTGTCAAAACCGACCTCGTGTATGATTGTCAGAAGTCGTGACATTTTCTATGTCGTAAAATGACTGTCAGATACTTGCAAGTTCAAACGCCGCTAGCGTGCGTTCGTTTAATACAAACTACAAAAATTATACATGGCAATGATCCCTAAAGCCTGCTGCTTCTCATGCTGGGTCACAAAAAGCCGTACCTCTTTTGGTTTGGCGGTGATCTAATCATCTGTCATCATGTTGCAATAACAATATTTTAGTGAAAAATATTTGCTTTCATTTCACCTACAGCAGCTAACACAGTGTGTGCCCGTTAGTGAACCATACCATAGCATTCCCTAATCATTTCTGAGCCACACCGTGAAATAATTAAGGCGCTAGCACAGGGCAGACCGGCGCTATTGAAGCTTTTGTCCGGCGCGGTCGGGTGCCGCGGTCGGGGCGGATTGCTTTCACCGCGGATTGCAATTTCGACAGACGTTTGACTTTGACCTGCTATAAGTAGGTCAAATATTGACCGTAAGTCAAAAGTAATATGCTCACTCGCGAGATCTTGTCAAGGGCAATCCGTTGGTTTTTGTTGCGAGGCGCTAGGACAATTCGTTTAGGAACAGGAGAGGGATGCACCGGCGAACCCCCGCTGTGGCCGCCCGCCCGCGGCGCGGTCGCCCGCCCACCGCGGTACCCGACCGCAACGGACGAAAACTTTAGTAGCGCCGGTCAGCCCTGTGCTAACGCCTTAATTCTTTCACAGTGCGGCTCAGAAATGATTAGGGAATGCTATCGTATGGTGCACTAACGGGCACACACTGTGTAAACTGCTGTAGGTGAAACGAAAGCAAATATTTTTTAGTAAAAAACTGCGATTGCAACATGCTGACAAATAGTTAGATCAACGCCAAACCAAAAAAGGATACGGCTTTTTGTGACCCTGCATTAGATGCAGCAGACTTTGGGGATCATTGTCATGTATAATTTTTGCCATTTGTACAAAATGAACGCACGCTAGCGGCCTTTGAACTTGCGAGTATCTGACAGTCATTTTACGACATAGAAAATGTCGCGACTTCTGACAATCATACACGAGGCCGGTTTCGACAAAAATATGAAAATCATATTTTTTCAGACACCCCAAACATTTGCCTGACTGGCCAAATTACGATTTATTCGATTAGGTGAACTTGAAATTTGGGCCTTTTTGGTATTTATGGCCACTCGTGGACCCCATTTGCATCACTGTGCAATCCCACTAACTTTGCAATGTCATTATTTGTGAAGTATGTGCACTTTCATTACGTGAGTCTCATTCTAATTCATAGTGCTTTGGAGTTGATGATATAAGTCACCAGGCTGTGTAAACCAGGTATAGCACTCCTGACAAAGTGGGGATGAAATGATGATAAGAAGACATGAGTCATGACTCATGACATTCAAGAGTCTGGCCCTTGAGTTGGTCAAAATGAAAAGTAAACAACACTTGTTCCAAAATTGATGAAAACTGATATACTGGCTACGAGAAAGTACAGATTATAGTCTTTTCCATATTATCAGGCTTGCAGTCAAAGTGCACTGCTGAGACTGAGAGCAATAACTTATTTCTGCAAGAGTACCTACCTATCTAACTAGTTCTTACCATTATTAACATTTTAAGACCAATATTATTGAACAAAGAAAAGAATAACTGAAGAAAAATTGGTATAAGTAGAGCAGACGTCACACGAAGGTTTTCCAACCAAGGAGAGGCGCTATGTCTGGAGGTACTTCTTTCTAACAAAACCTAAACAAACCTAACCTAACCTAACCTAACCTGACCTAACCTAACCTACAACCTACAAACCTACAACCTACAACATACAAACCTACCCTACAACCTACAAACCTACAGCGCCTCTCCTTGGTTGGAAAACCTTTGTGTGACGTCTGCTCTACTAATGCCGAAAAATTTACTTGATGCTTTAGCATTGTGAGCATCCAAGTTTGTTGATGTTTCTATGGAAACCCCATACACTGATACCTACACCTAGCGTGCTGTAGTGTTGTGCAATCAAACTGAGCCCTGGCATTCTTCCATAAGGCACCACATTCCTGTAAAGGCACTGATTTTGGAACAAGAAATGGAATGTCTTTCCCTAGGGTGATCAGTGGGCCAGTCATAGCCTTGGGTGGGCCGTAAAAGCTCCTGACTTGAGCTTGTCTGAGCTCAAGCTACGAAACTGTTTGTGATATTCCAGTTCAAAACTACATGCTAAAGGTAGTATATTTTCTTTCACTGAAACCAAACTCACCTAAATTGACACCACTCAAATCTTATTGCTGTTTGCAATTTTTGTTGTGACACACTCCGCAAACCACTCGATACTAATAGAAATGGTGTTCAACAAAGACAGTTCTCGCTGCTCGTTTTCAATCAGCGATTTGGGCCTGCAGTAGATGACAAGGTATGACAGTACCGGAATTGCCTAGCAACGAGCTTTAGGAGAGCGTGAAATGCTCTTTTCGAACAAAAAATAAGATCAAATATATGAAGCAGTTGCGCTGTTTTCGCTACCTAATGTTACTGCCATATCAAGACCATATGAAGTATTATACTCTTCATATTCTTTTTACTTTTCATTGTATGCTATTGATTTCATTATTGACAATCATTTTGAGCCATTTCTATCCATCAAAATTCATTTCCGTGCAATTGGCATCCCTGTGAATTGTTTCATCTGTGAATTGTAACAAAGAAATCCTGGCATATCTGGTGCCGTCCGAAAAGGAATGGTGCCGCAAATCGTTGCTGTATTCAATAAATACGTTTTTAAAAATGTTTTACTTCAGATAGGATAAGGATCGCACCCATGCTGATTGGTGTCAACGTGTCAACTGTCAATATTCAATAAATGGGAAACAAATAAAATATTTTATAAAAATAGATCTAAAAGAGTGCGTCTAGCGGCTGGTAGGGACAATTATGAGACAGTCCTTGCGCGCTTTATACAAACTGAATTATCGCAAGGCTACTAAATCAAATTGTATTTGCGCATTAGTATCTTCGGTCTTTGTTATTGTTTGGGCTGGCTGGCTGCTGTCGCGGTTGTTATTTATTTTTGTTTTCGGCAGGAAGAGACATCTCATAATTTCGAAGAGATTACTTTTTTGCTATTGTCACGCTCAGAAGATTGATTGAAAATGTGACGAGATGAAAATATTCAAAGATGAAGTGAAAGTCAAGTAGCAAGAGGTTGTTGTCGCAAGTATAAATTGAAATAGATAGGTATGGAAGTGCATCTATATAAATGATATCGCCAATGATTGAATACCAACTGAGTTTATTGGTGGTTTATTGGTTTCCCAACTCCCCTATGGATCATTGTAGACTGTGTTTGATTGAATCAGATTCATGCTGGATTTACCATGTTCTAATTTAGTTATGTTCACAATAATACAGTATATGTAACTGGTTCATCTTCAGTGTAACATGTTATTGATATTTGCAACCATGTGTTTTGTTGGATTAATCAGAAATTAAAGTTTGACTTGCATGCTGAGTGGCGAGCTTTCTGCTTTGGGCACCAAGTCTGATGTTGTGCCCACGCTCATAATGATAATTTATTTCTATATCAATATTTAGCCAATGAAACGTCATCTAAAATGGAAGTGAAATATTATTATTCAATATCAATATTTAATGTCAATATTCTAGGATTAAAGCAAAAAACATAGTGACCTATCTCCTGATGTTTGTGAGGTGTACCATAATTGAATATCAATATGAAGGGGCTAGCTTGTAGTTCCTGGTCTAATGTCTGCTGTGGAAGGTCCTGCTTCAATCAATGATAGTGCCTACTTGCCTGTCATGCATTGAAAATGGTGCAGTGTTTCAATACATCTGTGAGAACTGAAAGTTGTCTGTGAGAATGTGTCAAGGTGGATCAGAGTTTGTGCATTGCAACCAGAATAGGAATTGGAATTGAGACTCTGGAAGGCCATTATCAGCACTAGTGAATTCTAACACTGAACATCCTTCCAGGCTCCAAAACTTGATTGTCATAATCTTCGTTATTTGTATGCCAAAACCAATGAATGAATCTCAGTTTTACATGTGCTGTGTGCATCTTCCAGCCAGCAGGAAATGCATTTCAAAATGAGCTATGGTTGACTTCATTCAGACCCCATTACACTTCCATATCATATCATGAGTCATGAAGAGAGAGCAACATTATTCATTATTACGAAATATGAATGCTTTTATTCATCTTGCCAGGGTCCAAGCATGCACGTATTTACTATCAATGCACATGACAGAACAGATAACATCAGCTCGTCAAACACATGATACCACACGTATCAGGAGTCTACTGTTATTCTTTGAAAATAAGCCTATCCATGAACACCTTGATAAACTGCTTGGCAAACCCAATAAGTACTTGTGATTATGACAAAGGTGCTTGCGGAACCATAACCAAACTACTGTAGCAATAATAATCCCTGTTTTCTCTTGCTTTTTTCCATTTCAACTCGGATCTTCATTTAGGTACAATCATCTCTGGAATACCTATTTATCACACATTTCAATCCATCTTCTGATGAAAACAAACAATAAAAAACCAACGCTCACTCACTCCTCATCTCAATCTTTAAATATCTCAATCTCATCACATTTTCCACCAATCTCCTGAGTGTGTCAATGTCAAAAGGGTAACATCTTCGCAATTGTGAGTTGTCTCTTCCGGTCGAAAGCAAAAATAAATAACAAACGCACACCTGTTGGCAGCCAGCCAGCCCAAAAAATAACAAAGACCGAAGATACCGGAAGATACCAATGCGTAAATACAATTTGATTTAGTAGCCTTGCGATAATTCAGTTTGTATATAGCGCGCAACCGGTTCCATGACAACTGAACCAGTGACAACTGAACCAGGACAACTGAACCAGTGACAACTGAACCAGGGACAACTGAACCAGTGACAGCTGAACCAGGGACAACTGAACCAGTGACAACTGAACCAGGGACAACTGAACCAGGGACAACTGAACCAGTGACAACTGAACCAGTGACAACTGAACCAGGGACAACTGAACCAGTGACAACTGAACCAGTGGACAACTGAACCAGTGGACAACTGAACCAGTGGACAACTGAACCAGTAGCCAACTGAACTAGTGACAACTGAACCAGTGACAACTGAACCAGTGACAACTGAACCAGGGACAACTGAACCAGTGACAACTGAACCAGTGGACAACTGAACCAGTGGACAACTGCACCAGTGGACAACTGAACCAGTAGACAACTGAACCAGTGACAACTGAACCAGTGACAACTGAACCAGTGACAACTGAGCCAGTGACAACTGAACCAGTGGACAACTGAACCAGTGGACAACTGAACCAGTGACAACTGAACCAGTGACAACTGAACCACTAACCAGTAGCCCAGCAAGCAATTTTACTCCGGGCACAAGCAGGCTGAAGTGCGGCTTGCCCGAGATTTTTAGTCGGGCTAAAGCCGGCTAGCGCTTGGACTTAAGTCGGCTAGCGCTTGGGCTAAAGACTAAAGTCGGCGTATGACACAAAAACGCCGACTAAAGCCCATGCTCTGCCGGAGGTATATGCCCTCTCGGCGAGCTCAGGACAGCCGTTGTTTAGCCCTGAGCCCTAGTTGTGCGACGTTTGGCGTAAGCCCGATGTTAGCCCGAGCAGTGACTTCCATTTATATACCGGAGATTCCTCTGGGCCCAGGAGGGCTGAACTCTGCCAAGCCCACGTTGCGTGCCCTGTCTGCCCCGAGTTAGGCCATCAAAGTGAATATTATTTATACGTTGCTAACTATTCGGGCGTCCCAGGTGGGCGTAACGGTTACCAAACCAGTTCGCGACCACCAGGCTCTGTCAGCCCTGTCAGCCGTCGTACGGCTCTCGGACGTACACTATAATAGATCGGACACAGATCAATTGGCAGCAGTAGCGGTGGAACACCTTCAATTAAGGCTGGGCACTGTCGACTTTTGGTCCCATTCTTTCCATGCAACGCCCATAGGGCTAATGTTAAAATGCCACAATCAAAGGGGGGCACGGTGCCCCGGTGCCCTCCCCGTTCCGCCGCCTATGATTGGCAGACCGGCAGATTGGCACAGACCGTCCGTCCAGCCACGCGCTACCTTATACCTATACAGCGCAGTACGACATTAGTTGTCCACTGGTTCAGTTGTCCGCTGGTTCAGTTGTCCACTGGTTCAGTTGTCCACTGGTTCAGTTGCCATACTGGTTCAGTTGTCACTGGTTCAGTTGTCCACTGGTTCAGTTGTCACTGGTTCAGTTGTCACTGGTTCAGTTGTCATACTGGTTCAGTTGTCACTGGTTCAGTTGTCATACTGGTTCAGTTGTCACTGGTTCAGTTGTCACTGGCTCAGTTGTCACTGGTTCAGTTGTCACTGGTTCAGTTGTCACTGGTTCAGTTGTCTACTGGTTCAGTTGTCCACTGGTTCAGTTGTCCACTGGTTCAGTTGTCCACTGGTTCAGTTGTCACTGGTTCAGTTGTCCCTGGTTCAGTTGTCACTGGTTCAGTTGTCGCTGGTTCAGTTGTCGCTGGTTCAGTTGTCACTGGTTCAGTTGTCGCTGGTTCAGTTGTCACTGGCTCAGTTGTCACTGGTTCAGTTGTCCCTGGTTCAGTTTTACTGGTTCAGTTGTCCCTGGTTCAGTTGTCACTGGTTCAGTTGTCTGCCTACCCGCGCAACCACTGACTCATAATTGTCCCTACCAGCCGCTAGACGCACTCATCTAAAACGGACAACACTATTCGACCGCCACCCTTGCAGCCATTCTATAACTCAGGAACTACTGGACCGATCGGAACGAACGAAACACCATTCGAATCAGGGGGTACGATTTTATCAGCCGTTTCGAATCTCGTGACCCCAGGTGACCTCAGTGACCTCAAGAGGTCAACTCGGCATTGACGCCTATTGCAGCCATTCTATAACTCAGGAACTACTGGGCCGATCGCGACAAAAACACCACCAGTCGAATCAGCGTATGCGATTTCATCAGCCGTTTCGAATATGGTGACCTCAGGTGACCTCGGTGACCTTGGGAGGTCACATGACCGTTGTGGCCTATGGCAGCCATTCTATAACTCAGGAACTACTGGGCCGATCGTGACGAAAACACCACCAGTCGATTCAGCGTATGCGATTTCATCAGCCGTTTCGAATATGGTGACCTCAGGTGACCTCAGTGACCTTGGGAGGTCACATGACCGTTGTGGCCTATGGCAGCCATTCTATAACTCAGGAACTGCTGGGCCGATCGTGACGAAAACACCACCAGTCGATTCAGCGTATCCGATTTCATCAGCCGTTTCGA